GAGCAGAAGGGTCACTGAAAACACAGGGGAGGAGGAACTGCTCCTTGTGCTCAGTCCCTGCCACCAGGTCAGAGGAAGGAGTTTGTTACAGGAAAGGCTCGTCTTTAACCCCATAACTCTGGACTGTGACAGGATCAGCCACATGTCGGAGCAGAGGCGCCTGTGGAGGCCGCGGAACTTCGTGGTGCAAGGTGGGATCTTTGCAGGCTTTAAACGGTGAGCTCTAGAAAGCCTGCAGTGGGCAAAGGCAGACTGTGTTGTCCAAAGGCTTATCACGTTGCCAAATTCAGATGAAACTGTAGAAAACACAACCCTAATAAAAAGCTGCAGCACTACAAAGTTTTAATTCCTGAGCGTAGCCAACATCGTACGTCAAAAATGTCAATGCAAGAGATTTGCATTTAACAAATGCATCTCAATCACGTAGCAACATAAAATGATGGAAATACCAAGCAAACTAACCACCCTCACCGCAAAATTTGTCTCTTCTTTGAGAGCTATACCCAGAAGAGGTTGGACAGGGAGTCTCACGGCAGCAGGTTCTGATACCTGCTCATAATGCCATTTTGGTCAGACTTTCAAAGCAAACATTCAGCCAGATGTAAAGCCCAAAGTGTGACAGCTCCTAATATTGTTCTTGGCTTATACATGAAATAAAGCGAAGAACATGGCTTTAAAAAAGCTGAACAGGATGCACGCCATTTTCAGTTTGGCAGTTACTCGAAGATTTGATCTGGCATAAGGAGGAAGAAAAATTATGCAAACCAAAAATTTAGAAAAGGTAACATGTGGGGGAAATGTCTGAGAGGTAAGAAACTGAAAAATTTAAAAAAAAATAATAAAATAAAAAAAAAAATCAGCATTTTTGTTTTAAAGAAGGAGCAATGAGTTTCTTTTAAACAATACACTTTGTGGATATGCAAAAACTAAAATACTTCAGCTTGGGCACTTGACTTGAGTGACCCTTCTCTCCTGACAAATACAAGGGGTAGGGGAGAGATCACTCAGGGACAACCTAGAGCACAGTTGGGCTTTTAGCCTGATTTGTCTGCTGACTGCGCAAGGAGGCTAGACAAACTTCTCTCTTCAGTTGTTAGTGCGAGTACTTTCCAAATTGGCTCACTTCCTACTAGAAGCAAAATACTCAAAAGAAAGCACGTATCTCACCAGAAAGGCAATTAAAAAATTACTTGAAAACACAAAACAAAACTAAACGCACAAGCCTCTGGTTCACAAGTGAAGAAGTCACTGCAGAGAGCAGAGCTCAGCAAGGCACAAACATTGACAGAAATTCACTGCAATCCCAGATAACGCTCGGGCAAAACGTCCTCCCCAGCTTCAGCAAGCAACAACAAATGCCACCCAGTGCACCAAAGGGACAGATAGTGACAGCAGCAACAGCAGCAATGAGCAGCACGGAACCGCTGAGCTGTCATGCTTGAACTTTTAAACTAGATGATTAGAGTGACCACTGAAAAATCAGATATGCTTTAAAATAATTCCTCTCTTGAATGTCTCTCTTGTACCCCGATCCAGGAGTATGGGCAACTTCACCCCGGCTAAAATCCAAGACTAACATTTGTATTCTTAATCATTCACAGACTTTACTTTTCAAAAAGTTGCACTACTTTGCTGGACTATCTTAAACGAATTACATTAATTAAAACAGTCTTGAGTTTCAAATGGCCCTTAAATACTTTCATCATCCCAGTCAAGTGGCTAGTCCTTTTACAGAACAATTGAACCTATACCCTTAAAATAACCCAATAACCAGGAGAAGGAAAACAAAGAAAGTAGAAAAGGCAAGGCAATTCTTACTCACTTAAAGAAAATATGATTAAGAAGATTAAGACAAAATTGCATTTGTTCTGTTACTGCCTACGTATCTAGGCCACCATCCTAAAACACTGCATATACTTAAAATATTTGCTGTTTCAACATACTGAATGCTTTATTTTACTAATTTTCAGTTAATATCATACATTAACAATTCCTCTATGCAGTCAACAAAAACATATTTATGCCGGAAAATGATTACATTGTATCTGACAATGAAGGATTTTGGTTGAACAAATTTTCTTCTCTGAAGCTTCTAAAATGCACTATAAAACAAAAGAACCTTGTAAGCCTAAAACAAAACCAAAAACCAAAAGAGTGCAAAGGCTACTCCCTCTCCTATTTAAAAGTAATATCTCCTTTTAAATCCTTTTTTTTTTAGTGTAATATCAATCAAAATCAAAGTTGGAAAACAAGTACCCTAATTGCTCCGGGATCCCTGGAACTTTGCCAGAATTCCTGAAGGAAAACTGCACCCATGCTTTGTAGCACCAACTCAATAAATCCAAAGCCTCAAAGTATTTCCACAGATACTATACTTATGCTGCAAAACACATTAGACATGCAACAGTTCCAACGTTTTCGGGAAGTGCCTGCGTTAGGCAGTTTGTTCACATGCATGCTGGAAAAAAAGCCAAGATTTCTAAATGCACGGCCACATGTCCAAGGCAAATCCAAGAGCTGTTCAACATATGGTCTAGACCCTGGCCTTGTCGAACAGATCTGAAAGCCACAGCCACCTGTGTTTACCTGCCATCTTTTCCATGGCCTGGCAATCTCTCTCCCTGTCCCACTGGGCATCCTGCATATGTGCTACGTGTATAGGTGACTAAGCAGCGCACAGATGGAAGTCACTCAGTTCCCATCTGCTGGCCTGCAGGAAGAGTGGCAGGGAGAGGGTCACCACAACAGTTCACAACCTTTGCCACAACTGAGCATAAAGGAAACAGAGCACAGGCTGCCTAATAGCCCTGGCAGCAGCGGCAAACTGCCCCGAGTCACTTTTCCTCAGAGGGAGGAGACAGTCAGTCACGTTTATGTGCACTCATTCTGCACACGTGCAACAAAATCCAAGGTCTCACAGACTGTCAGATTTACAGTACGCACACAAATCAGCTACACCGACCGTGCAGAACACCATGGCCTGAGCATCAAGTAAATGGAAGTAGTGTTGTGGTGTACAGCCTCCCCCGCCCCGCCCCCAAGGAAGTACTGTGCCCTGCCAGAAAGCCTCGGTACTGTTCACAGGAAAACTACTCTACTGCATGGTAGGTATCTCCAGAAAAGGATTGGAAAATATTTTAAAAATCTAATTCCACCTCAACATCATCTTCAGGAAGAGTTAAACAACAGGCCCTACAAAACTGGTTTTGCATATGGATCTATGAAATCACCACTCTAACAAATTCTGTCCAACCCTTCTTCCATCATTTCACACTGTTCTCGCCACACATCACTATCACAGCAGAAACTCTGAAGCAAAGCAATTAAGAGGTTTCAACCTTTTTCTTTTTTTCTTTATTTTGGCAATGCTTTTTTCAGAAATTCATTCCAAAGTGAATAAAGTAAAGAAAAAAAAAAAGATCCTCCCACAAATTCTTAACTTACTCTTGCAGAGTTTCCACTCCTTTTTCCTTATATTGCAGCTCCTGCTTCATCTGTGCCAATTCTCGTTTTAGCCTAGAAAGCTGAATATAACAAAATAATTTAAAGTAATAACATGTAACAAACTTTTATAATAAAAATAATTGTTTTTCAAATACAGAATCTGAAGTTATTTTAAAAAAACTGGAAGTCATAATCTAAGTTCTCTTTTTTTCTTGCTTCAAAATCTGCATTAAAATAACAGAAGACTTTCCAAACTATCATAAGACCCAACCAAACAGTGGTCACAACATTCAGCTTTCAAAGTATCAGTTTCCTCATCTATTCTATTGGTTTTCTATCTCCAACAGCTTATGCTAACAGCTAGCAAGTTTCAATCCATGATTTTTCTTCTCTCCTTGTAGCAGACAGACACCTCTCAACTGTCTTCAACTCTTTAGTCAACTAAAAAAAAAAAGACTGAACATGCAATGCTGTTAATTTTTCAATCTGGAAAAACAAAAACACTGGCAACAGAACTGGCCTCTCTCCCAGAAATGTCAGCCTGATTTTCTACAGTTATTTTCATATTGTCCTGCCCTCTCAATTTCCCCCACCTTGATCCAACTAGTAAGCATAAATTAGAAGTGACAAAACAGCAATGTCTCCAAAAATATATTTTTGTGGTTTTATGAAAACAGTTACCAGAGTAGGCTGGCCAGACCTTAGAAGAGCACTATCAGCACCAAGAACGATCTGTAAAGAAATAGATTCTTGCTCTCCAAAGCTAATAGATAACTGAGGGCAACATGGGAGAGGAAGATGCAAGGGACTGCAGACAAATGGGGGGAATGGAGGTGTTTCAGTGTGTGCTGGTGAGGCACAAGACTGAACTGAAAGCCCAAAGAGGGGCAGCGATGGAAGAAAAAAGCTCTTTGTTCTCAAGCTATCAAACTGGGTACCTTTTCTAAAATTTACCCAGAGTGCTCTTGATTTTCACATGTACATCAACAAATGACAAAACTATTGTTAAAAAAAAAATTAAAAAAAGAGTTTAAAAAAAAATTCCTACATATCCGCACATAGACTAATGTTATCAGCTCTACTCCAAGAGCAAGGGCCTTCACAGAAGTTCTGGAAATGCAAACCAGGACTGTCAGAGTCCCACCATCCTACATGGCCCTCCCTTCCCCATGTGTTCTTGCCCTTTCCTCAAAACTCATCGCACCAGGCCCCAAAACACTCCAGTAGCCTCACCAACTCTTTCAACAGTCACCAAGAGTAAAATGAAAAAATGCCTCGCTAACATCATGTATACAAACACTTCACAGTGCATATGTTATTCTGTTACCTGAAACAACTCAATGCCTACACACACATTCAGTTAAACAGGTTATCCTATGCACTTAGGAGATTGCTTTAAGATGCAGGAACAGAGAGAAGTAGTCATGTAAGTGAAGACCTTGTTTATTTTCTTTAGATGTTATTTAAATAAATAAGGCTTATTTTCTTGTTTAGAATATGCTGACATTTAAGAGTATGTAAAACAAGCAAACACTAGTCAGCATGTAGTAAACATATACAGCTAGAATAAATGCCTTTGAAGGGTGGTGAACGGGATTTATTTTCAGAGGCACTCATGTGAAAAGTGGTCACTACAACAAAAATGGAACACTATCCTGCAAAGATAAGTATTTCTTATTTATTTTGTGCACTGAGTGCCTGGCATGTTAAATCCCATTTTATCCACTAAAAAAAATAAACATACAATTCAGAAATAGGTTCTAGAGCCTGATATTATAAAATGTTTTTTACAATTGCTTATGAGTGCTCTATCAATTTGCTTGAAAACAATGTGCAGACTTTAACTCTTTGCTAAAGCAGCGTGGGAAAAATTCAAGAAGTCAGCTATTCTCCTTTCAGCAAAGACAGCATGATTCTAGTTTTTTTAAAAAAATAAATACATTTAAAAAAAAATATATATATACGTATAAAAATGGAGCATTTTTATTGCAGAACTGCCTGTCACTGTCAGAATGCTTGAACTCCCCTCCCCTCATAGAGGAGCTCTGGCCAAATCATCTAAAAAGTTCTATTTGGCCAACATGTCTACTGAATTGTGATCAGATTTCCAAATATATGGCTAAATCTAGAGTTCAATGACATCCATGGAACCCCACTGAAAATGGGAAAACATGAAGACAGTGGGTTTGAACTGCATTTTATCAAGAAAGAATTTGGCTGCAGAGTGTTTACTACTTGTGCCACTTCACACAGAAAAAGTAATTTCTGAAAGCCTGGCTGACTTTGCCTTTGACATCTGTGACAAAAATCTTTACGCTTGTAACATCAAAAAAGCATTACTTTGCAAGTCACTGAAATGCAGTAAATATAGAGTCATTTTAATAGAACAATAGGTCAGAGTAGAAAAGCCATTTTTAATATTGTATTTCCAAAAAGGCATGCAACATCCAGTGTAAATGCTAAGGTAAAAGAAAAACATATAGTCCTCCTCCCTTCCCCATGCCTAATTCGTATTTTTACAGAACGAAAAAAGATTACTCACTCTGTCCCGACGGCTGGCTATTTCTGCTTTAATCTGATACGGGTCATACTTGGTATTAGTTGAAAATCCTGAGAATGCTAAACAGATGGAAAACAGCATTTTGTATTATTTTTTTCTTCTTCTTTAACACACTTGTTAAGATGTGGCACTATTTAATAGACCATTGCATTCTTTCTTTGTGTTACAAGTCACTGGATCTTAAAATAATCCTCTGTGCTAAAGTACAACTGAAGAATTACCTTTGGCCTGCCAGAATTTTTTTTCCCTGAACAACAACAACAAATTTATATAGCAGCCCTGTGTATTGCCTAAAAGCAACTAGCTTCCATGACAGGACGGTGGCATTTACTGATGCAAGCAATTTGTGTAACACTAACAATTGTTAATTGCTTCCTAGGTCTGTTGAATTAACAGTATGATAGGGACTAAAGTAACAAAACTATTGTCAGAATAAAATTCAATCAGATACAGAAAGGTTGACTACTAAAGCAAGAGTAGGGAAGCAATGTTACAGATCAACCTCCAACAAGCCAGCTCTTATCACAGCATATCTAGAGTCAGCCAACGATTTCAAGCTGTGGCATTACAAGCTAAAGCCTAGACAGAGGAAGTAAAGGTCCTAGAAGACAGCCTGGGCAAGACCAACCATGATTTCTTGAGCGAGACACTCACGACAGCACTGGCCCACTGAAAAATGCCTCGTGTTGCAAGTGGATGGGGTTGTGCGGTTGGACCTGCCATGCTTTTGTAGAGCTGAAGGCTGCTGCTTTGAAACCCATATCCACATCTGCGTTGCACTGAGCCTTTCCACTCTCCAAAGAATACTGCAATGCCCAGGTCACGGCAAGCATGCAGGAACTTGCCCAAATGAGTAGTCATGCCTGGACTAATTCTCTAAATCCAGGATTTTCTATGGAGTTTTTTTGGTTGTTTTTTTTTTTAAAACGGTGCTGATCACAACTGAGTCACAAAACTGCTGCATGGGCACCTCCCTGCCAACCCACAACCACTGAGCTCACACCACTCCCACTCATGAGCACACGACACTGACTCAATGGCAGCACCCACAAGCAAAAAGGAGGCAAACAGTTTGTGAAGTTTTAGTTCTTCTAACACAACAAATTGAAACAACTGGTGGTGGCAGGAACATTCTCAATATAAGCACCCAACCTTGGCCATCTAATTGCACTTGAATTAAGAGCCTAATATTTCTGCACAATAAATGGGAGAAGCAAGCATCCCAGAGTGGAGTGGAGTTGTCAAATTAAGAAAAACAAGTGGAGAAGCCTTGGGGAATCTTGAGTTGACAGCATGATTAATCCCCAAAGGGATTATTTTATTTTTTTTTCAAATATATCATCTGACTAATCAGTCCATCTCATTTTCTCAGAACAGATGCATATGACCTTAAACCAATATAAAATATAGTAACACATCTGTAGAAAATTAAAATATTTTTTCACCTCAAAACAAGTGAAAGGTTTTATTTAAATGATTTTACAGTATCTTATTAGCAGTTACACAGAAATACCTAAAAAAAAATCCTATTGGAAGACTAAGAAACATAAAAATCCATAAAAACCAATGGCCAGTATTGCCATCCCTGCTACAGATAACTTCCAATTTTGTCATTTTCAGTCATATTTCATTGCTGTTTCAAGCAACTTGTTTTTTCAAGAGCTTTAAAAACATGAAAAAAGGTTGTATTTTTCTAGTGTATTATCATCTTCAACAGATGTTTCTTTCTGTATATTCACCTAAAGTAATTCAACAAAACATCCCACAGAACTGCAAATTTCCAAAAAACAAAAAGCCCAACGTCCTAGAATAGTACTGTAATATATGTATATTTAGATTTTATAATCCAAGAAAATACACCATCTTTTACCCTATTCCAAGTCTTTAAACAGTACACACTCTTCAAACAATAGTTACTTTTAAAAAATTTCTTTCTTAATAAGAAAAAAAAAATTTAATCTTTCGTAATAATTCTTAAGAAACTTGAACATAACAAGGAGAAATAAGACTAGTCACAACTGTTCAGTCATGTCACAGAATACATATATTTAAAACTAAACAAAAAGATAAGATAATCCCAGTTCTTTGGCAGGGGGGGTTGGACTAGATGATTTTTCGAGGTCCCTTCCAACCCCTAACATTCTGTGAAAAGAACCCTTGGTCAAGACCACCTGGGATACCTCAGCCCTAGAAAACATCTTTTATTCAGGAGTTTGGCATACATATGAATTACCTTGGATCAGTAGCTAAATACTTCTACCCAGGTGCCTGTTTTAACCTCCCCTCCACTGTCATGTTTCTTGAACACTTTCAGAAAGGGCTAAGCAGAGCTTCCCATACTTACCAAGTACTTGGCATTTACCAGCAAACCCTGCAGTTAAACAATGGCTGTACACACAGCAGCCACTGAAAAGCCACCAGCGCAGTGAAACTCCACTATGTTTCCACGTGGCTGGTGGGTTTATCTATTTGATACACTTCTTTGAATTAGAGTGCTTTGACTCTTCAAGAAAGACACCTTTCCCTGTTGCACCAACCGACAGCCATGACAGCAGTGCAACGACTTCAGATTTCAGAAAAAGCCTATCATCTACTCCAACCTACCAGAGACATCTGAAGAATGAAAAGGGCAGGAAATCAAGGCTCCAAGACCTACACCACCAGCGCTAGGATCAGAGGCTGGCATTCAAGAATGAGGTGCAGTAATGAAACACCACTTCCTACTTTGTGGGCAGAGGTACTCTTGACCACACACCTTTGTACCCAATTCTTTATAAAGTCGATAAATCGATCATGGATCTGCAGAAGGCTTCCCCTAAGCTGATGGTTCTCCCCATGTTGAGGGTGGAATAACCTATGAATTTAGGAGTGCGAGTAGGTGGCTGGTCCAACAACAGTCAGTCTTGTCTTTGTGGCCTTGCATGAAGCATCACTATGGCTGGCTCCGAAGTGGCTAGAGATGCTAGCTGGGATATATTCCTATTTAATGTTAAAAAGGCATATTCTAATAGATCTAACAGGAAATGGAAGTCCCTGAATAGCAGAGTCAAAGGATAGAGCCTCACTTCTGTAGTCAGGATCTCCATTCAGAGGAGAATGAGGTGATGGAAACACTTCACACTATTTCTTACACCACATGTGAGAGGCAGGTGGGTAAATCAAGAAAAGACCAGTAAACTCACAGCTGGCATAAGAACGGCTGTCATCCTCACACATTTTGTGCAATTGTTGATATTCTTCTTGGGCTAGTTCAAAACGCTGCTGCTTTATTTGGTAAATCTCTTTCTTGGCATTGAGTGCCTCCTGGGCAACTATTAAATATTCCTTCAGCATGCGCTCCTGCTCCCTTCTCCATTGCTCCCTTGGGTCCTCAATTTGTGTGAGCTCTAAGGAGAAAAGCATTAAAAAAAAAGAAATTGTAAGACACTTTATCCCACATAGTACACGTTATTTCATTAAGGTCTGTTCTGAACTAGCAGATCTAACACTACAGCGCTCAGAATCAATCCAGCCTGGACAAGAAGGAAGGATGCAGTGTGGAAGAACAGGAAAAGCCCTTTCAAATATAAAAGGCATTTAAATTTGATTCTTTTATTTAAAAACTAGAGCAAACCGAAACAAAACAGTGTTTTGGCTCTAATCTTCCCTGGTGGCCAACTTGAAAATTCTGAGAAGTACCTAAGAACCCAGAACTACAAAGGAGAATGAAAGGTATCTCAATGCTTAACCCATAAACCTATAAATGGTTGGGAACGACCTTAACGTACTACATACGACTTCACAACTATAACATCCTGAAAGGTCAGTGAGTACACCTGCACAATTAAGAAGAATAAGGTCATTCAACAAAAAAGTTAGCATTTTAATCTCAAATCTGTAAAAGCATTTAAATTGTTTCCTTTTTTTGTCTCAAGAAACAGCACACTCATGCTTTCCCTTTCCAGGGTTTAGAACAGTTCCTATTCAAACACAAATCAAAAATAAGTTTCCAGTACAAAATCTTTCCCAAATACACTGATTCTCAAAGTTATTACCGTACAGCAATCTCTTTGCAGCTGCAAAGACATTTTAGGAGGATACATACATTATAATCCTAAAAAATTATTGGTTCAATTGGGGTTTTTTTTTGTGGTGACGTTCCAGCTGGCAAATATGTTTTACACGAGGATGTCCATGTAAAGTTTCATGTTCAAGAGATTGTTAATTTCTGGTGATTTAGGCTCTAGCACTAAGAAGTTGCTGCAGATGCAATGCCAGTGTTCAAAGTACTAGCAGAACCTGCAGTATAGTAAGGAGGTAAGCACCTAGTCATTTTTTCCAAACTTCGTTTCTCACAAGAGATGAAAGCCATTTACGTTTCGTATTAAACTTGAGTATGTTATTCAGTATATTGGTGTCAGTAATGAAATAAGAAACTGTAAAAGATTGAGCCCAACACATTCAGAACTCTAATGGTGTCAGGGTCATGCTAGCAGCCCTACCATTTGACAGCCATTTGAAAAGCACATAAACAAACCCACGAAGTTCATCTATGAGCAGTACTGCCAAAAGATTTGTGTATTAGGTTCCAAATAACCTTTTCTCTCAACGGCTGTAACTTTTCTCTCCCCACTCCTCACATTACAACAGTATAAAGATTGACCCAATAGTCCTGCAATTTCTCCCCTCATCCCAGGGACCCCTGATTCCCAGCAGCACCTTCTGGCTCCAATGCCCTCAAACTCTCTCTGAAGCCCAGGACAGGATGTGCTGCGGCTTGTTCCACTCTCCATAAAACCTTTTCTGCATGTAGGGCAAGCAGAAGAAAACAGAGTTCACATTGCAGCCCATCCTTTACTGAGCACATGATAATTTTTGATGCCATCTCATCTGTCCATAAGTATGCCTGAAATCTGTGCAGATTCCTAAAGCTGCTAATCCCCTATGGAAACTATGTGGAAATTAATAAATATTTATGAGACAGAAAAGCTGGATCCTAGTGTCTCTTTGAATAGGAAATTAATAGTTCTAATCCCAATAAACAGCCAAAGCTATAATGTCATGTTGTATCACACATTAAGCTTCTGAGGTCCTATACTGCAGGGCACTGCATTTCTTACCAAATTATTTCAGAAGCCTTCTCAAAAGCTAGCAGCATTCTTCTCAGGCAGAAAACTTCTTCAGTACAGTAGTGGCATTCTCTTCTGTTATAAAGTACAGAGGCTTCACTTTGCCCTGGATTTCTACACAAGTTTGCCATGTAATAGCAAAACTAAAGCTATGTTGTATGATAAAACTATCTTTCTTCATTTCCTTGTAACAAATTTAAAAAATAAAAAATAAAAATACAACAGTAATTCAAGAACAGTGCCAGACGAATGCAGAGAATATATTATTCCCTCACTGGGGAATGCCCAACTGGTTAAAGGAGACTTCAAAGGCTCCCAAGACTCTGAGAAGGAGGGAAAGGAATTCTGCAGCTGGCAGCCGCCAAGGTTTTTAAGCAATGGTTGGACAAGAGCCAAGAGCAGCTTAGTAAGGGTGTCAACAAAGTACTGAATTTACAGAACAAGATGGAGATCAGGGTTGGAAGCACCATTGAGATTTACAGAAGATTCCTCTGTTCCTGGGGTTTTTAAATATAAATGGAAAGTTATTGCCTAGAAATCTTTTTATTACTTTCTGGGTAAACATAACAAGAGGCTTGGAAAAATCCGATGTATTACTGTTTTCTTTTAAAAGGTGCAAGGGCAAAAAGCTCAAGACAGTGCACAAAGCATGAGAGGTCCCTGGTAAGCATAACTTTAGAAAGACTCTCTTTGAGTTATCCCTTGCATTTTCTCACATTATTTCTTGAAACTGAAGCACTTCTAACTGTTTTGTCAATTAACACAGAACTCCAACGCTGTATAAGGCATTTAACCCGGTCAGCCACAAAAGGCAGTGCGAATGTTTTCACGTGGAAGTTGCCGTTCCAAGTATTTCAGACATAGGTCAGAATACTTTGTAAGGGACTCGTTTCACAAAAACGCTTCTTCAGTTCTGCCACGTGCCCGACACCATCTCATGATGCACATGATTGTCTACTCATTAGTTCTCCCTTCTAAAGAGGAGGTTAATGCAGTCTTGATTGGTACCTTTGTTAAACCACAGTTTAAAATTGGACTGAGCATCCTACTAATTTTTGAATAATGATTACCCAGCTACAATATCAACTCTGTCTTCCCTCTGAATATAAATCTTGCTTGTATATGCAAGCACGGTACTAGCCTAAGGGTGACAAACCCATTTTGCTGTGACGGTTGAATTAGCATTTAGGATAATATCTGTGGGCTGCAAGTAATTAGTTATCATGAAAGAGACAAATTTTGCAACCTTGTTAATTGCAGAATGATTCCTTTCACTTAGTTCAGCACTGGCCTATGAAGTTTCTATCCCTCTGTTCATATATTACCTTTATTTAATACCTAATATGATTAGCTTTACTTTCCCAGACCCATTTATATTAATCTCCTCTTTCTGTGCCTTCCCATTTAGCATTTGGGAATTCAATTTCTCTTTGTGAAGACTCTCTTCTACAGTTTTTGCTTTTAATTGCACAGAAAAAAATGCAAGCCAGATCTGACATGCCTACAATGATTAATAGTCTTTCTGTAAGTTCAAACTTGATGTCTGTGGTAAAGCAACTAATAACAAAGTCTGAAAAGCAAGAGTGAGTGATTTTTTTTGCATGCAATGGTGATTGTTGTTCCTATCAAAGACGACTATCAATAGGATGCTTTAGTAGTTTTTTTTTAGTCACAGACTTGCAATGTGAGTTCATGTTCTACTTCATATCTATAGGGACTCCTACAGCCTTTTACAAAGTTCAAGGAAAAAAGAAGAGATGCCAATATCGTCATTTGTATTTTTTTTTAACATGTGCATTCATGCACATGTACATACATTGGTGCAAGTGCACTCCACTACTGTACTTCAATGTAAACCCGACTTTTGATTAAACTTCAACATTAACTAAAGTTACCACAACAGTCTAAACAGCAATCACTAAGCTACTACTTCTTTTAAACAGAGCTATCCTAAGAACTACCTAACACTCTGTATTTATTGCCTTTCAATTGTCCTGGCTATCTATCTTTGTGATCACTGCATTAACAGCTCTTTAAAGTTTATTATTTAATTTCTGATCTTAGTTAATTTCACAACAAATAAGTATCTGTCGAACAACATCATGGGAACATTTGTTATTCTGTTGCTTTGGGTTGCCTTTTTTTTTTTTTTAAAAATCACTAATTGTGAAACCACAACATAGAAGTAATTCCAATGATGGCGGGAAGCCAAAAACTATTTCTATACTTTTTTTTTTAATTGACTAGATTTCAAGTAGACACTATTGAGGTTGTTTTTGCAGATTACACTATTTACCATTGCTGTGATAGCCCATATAACTACTTTCTTCTTCTCTCCCTCTCTGCCAACTGCTGGTTGCCACAATATTGAAAGCATTCACTTATTGGTGATAAGAAGCTTAATGATAGCAGCACAACAGTAACAGCAGCAGTAGTACAAAGCTGTAAAGATAAGACTTTTTTTAAAAAAAAATATAGAACTGGCAAAAGTGTCAGACAGTGGTAATACAAAGCTCAGCAACAGTCCAAAAGGGAAAATGTTGGGACATTTCTCCCTCTTAGTTTCCAAATGGACATCTGTTGTCTTTTTGATAGCACCTTGTGCTGTATTAAAGCATAAAACATACATTGCTTAAGAGAGGACAAGACTATTGTATTTCACAGTGCTTCTAACTAAAAACCAGCACTTTTCTCTCAGAATATATTTTTGTTTTCAATATAGAAGAGTGAACTATGGATGACTGGAAAAATAGGAAATACAAGAGCGCGAAAATCTTCTTAACTGACATATGATAAAAAGCAACAACAAAATTACTGATTCTCCAATGACAAAGCAAATGAAAATAGTTTTATACACCATAACTCAATCATACGTTGTAAAATTCTTTACAAATGGAAGGAGGATTGTGCCCCCATTTGAAAGACGAGAAAACAGATACTGCAAGAAATTACTTCCATATATTTTCTCACTGTAGCATGAGGTGCATAAATGGTATCAGAAACAAAGTTAGTACCATCAGTTAACATCAGGTTGCTAAGATTCCTAAAAATAATCATACATCTACTCACGATTTATGTGGTCCATATAATAAACTCCGATCTGTTGATCGTAAACAGTTTCCCATCCTAAAGGAAGCTCATCTCCGACACAGTCAGCAAATGTCAATGGCTTTGTAATCCTGTAAAAATAAAAATAGCACTAATAAATACAAAAGGTGCAGAGTTTACAGTGCAATGAATGTTATTACATGTTTTGAAGATACCTCCATTTGATCACAAACTAGTTATGCTGATTAGGAATGTCCTAATAATTTCAAACACACAGTTTCAAAATAAAATTTCATTTAAATACGCTGACAGATACTCCTCGAACAGGTAAAACAAGCTTCTCCCTTCAAGTTTCTATGTTTAACAGTTTAATCACACTGGCATGCAGTCCTGCCAGTTTCTCCCCCATATTGCAAAGAACACAAACATGAAGCTGGAGTTCACCACTGCTAAAAATTACCAGAAGCTTTATAGGCTTTACTTCTTTAAGTTGTCAAAGCAGTACAATTCTTTTGTCCTTAAAAAGAGTGAAACAGAATTTAAGAAATCACTATATAATAGATTTCTCCTCTTTTCAATTCTAAATTTCCAATTATTAATGATATTCTCTTGATCCAGACCCATCCAATTACTTCCTCTCCCTCAAAAAGGAGAGAGGCAAACAAATGTCTCTAAAGAATTCTGAAGCCATTAGAGCAGAAATAGTAACTAATAAGTTAGAGCATTGCTATCTAGCAGCTTAAAATATCACATCCCTTGCTAGGCAAACTCTTGATAGACCAGTGGGAAACAGAAAACCAAAACAGCAATTTTGGTATTGACAGGGATGTTGAAAATACTGGGTTACAAATTCTAGAGAAATACTCTAAACCAACACTGTTCTAGAACATCAAGGTATATAAAACAACTAAGAAGAACAAACGATGCATATAAAAAAATCCTTAACATTCAGTTGAATCATATCTATTTCCCAAATCATCATTTTAATCTTTATGTAACCCCTAAGATAATGTTTTCCTCTAAAAGTTGCCATAGAATTCCTTTACAGAAAAGCTATTAATATAATCAGTTCAATTATACATGGGATATAGATCCAACACCTTCAACGTTTATGTGTTAAAGCATTTCTAATACCTAGAATGATGGCAGCTTTGCAAAGATTAAACACATGCACTAATTTAGGGTCTGCCTTAAGTTGAGCATAACCTATGGCACAATACTGTTTGGCATAAAATGGAAATTCCATTCATATGTTATACTGCTCAATTAAGGTTTCCTGACACCAGACTTGGACTGTGCTTACAAACACACTGCGGAACAGAAAGATCGTTGGGACTGGCAACTGCACCTCATGTGATAACACCAGTATAAAACACTAACTTTGACTGAACTAAAACATGTCTATCTTTGAACTAGAAGTCCTTCTCCACTACAAAACAAAACCAACCAGAACATTCCAACAGTAAAGTCTTCAAATGATGGAGATACTACTACAGCTACATCCTAGTTATTCCAATGGCCCAGTAAACACACCATTCAACCACTAACAAAAAGCACATAACTTTGCACACGGCAAACAAAAAAACTGCATTTGCCTGCCTCCTAGAACTATTTCAGTATTCTTGAGATTAAACTGTTCGAAATTAACTGTAGCAGAATTAGAAAAAAAAAAAAATCCTCATTAAATCCTCATTAGCTTAAATGTAATGTTTGAACGGCTCTGTACAACCGTACAAGGACCAAGTTATTTAGGTCAAATAATAAAGAGCTTTATCATACGCTATGGATTCTCAAACATGTATAAACAGTTTAATAAGATGAAGATGTACATAAACTTGTGCAACACTATTTAAAGTGAAAATTTTCCATTACTGACAAATACTTAGTTTACATCATGTAATCATGCAAATCCAAAGCTCCTGTATTCAGGAAGGAAAATGTTACTACGGACTGGCATATGCATTCTTTCAGTAATTCATCTAGCAGTCAGGCAGACCAAATATTGCGAAATACTTCTGATCTCCCTGGAATTCAGTCAAATATTAAAAACCTAACATGCATCATTTTTTCTTAAAGTCTCATGGTTTTGTTCTGAAGACACCATGTTTAAAGTTTCTCAAAGTAACCTAGGCATCGGCTCCTAAATTACCACACTATAGACAAGATTTTCTTTGGAACGAGTTATGAGACATGTTTGCCTGTTATACAAACACACCCTCACCTTTTATTCATCAGTAAAACCTGCACATGATACTCCACCTTTCACACTACAAGAACTTTAATTCAGGCTCTCTGTGATCCCACCAGGGCTCAGACTTCCAGAACAAGGACAATGCTCACTTTCTGGAAAATGGAGACTCAAGAAAGCCAATGCATCTGGTCTAACCGGTTTCCATTCCAATGTTATAAAGCATGCATGAACAGTTTAATTAATAGTTTTGAAGGAAACGTTGTAAGAAAAAGACAACATAAAAAGCTGTCTTTCAGATATACAGGCCATTATTAACTTGATGTTGCTCATTTTACACTACATTCAAAGTTGTTCCGGATTAGATTCCCTTCAGACAAAGCATAACATCACATCAATTCTCAATTCAGTCACATTTATATCTATATAGCTTGAACCTTCTTCATTCACTTTATCTAGGTCAAAACACTCAAAGTTTAAACTAAAGAACTGGAAGTCTCTCCCGGTGTTTTGCATTGGTTTAACTAAGTCAACTGAAAAAATGTATTTCTGGTTTAACCAGTACAACTCTGAGGACAAGATTTTTTTCCAGTTAGGGAAACTAAGAGTTTCCAGAATAACAAAGACAAAATGGAACAGATGCAGATATGGATATTGGAGGTCATCCACAAATTACAGCAGTAGATTGCTGAAATGAAGTATCTTCTGGAAATACTGCTTTAACCTCTGGGGGTTTTTTAATTAGCTTAAGCACTGTAAAATTTAACAGGTCTTTTCTGCTTCTATATAAAGAACTGTACAAGGTAGCAGTACATCTGTTAAAACATTTCAAAGTATTAAAGACAACAAATTTTTCAAAGCATTATAAATATAGACAAAGACAGAATAAAAATGCTGCCAGCTTTAATTAAATAAAAAACAGAGCTGCCCTGAAATGTGCAATTCACAGTAGTAAAGAATAACCAAGGCATTTTATCTGTCACCGGTGACCATCTTTTGTCCCCTCATGACAACTAATAGACACTAATAAGAAGGTTCTGAACTTCCAGCTGAAGATAGAATTCCTCTGGGACCAGTTTATAACATTAACGGGTCGCGGCCACTGGATCTACAGTAGGTACAAGCGACGGTCACCACAGGGGCCAATTTTGAATATATCAAACAGCCAACCATAACTTCAGATTAACTGATTTGCTGATTCTTCGTTATCTCAAAACATTTACCCTTTCCAAAAATAACGACGCTCTTTAGTCATTAGGTAGCCAATCTTCTGTGACTCTGAAACTCCTCAAAAGCAAATACAGAAACACACCAGCAAGCTTCCATAACCTAAATCCTGCACACCAAGCTGAGAGAAAAACCTTCGAGCATTGTCATGCGCCTTCTATCTGGTACCTCTAACTCTGCCCAAATTACATGTTTTTGCTAAGAAGAAATGGAAGTCTGGTGTTTGCATACAGAAATATAGACTTATCTGAAAACCCAAGTCTTATTAATATTTTCTCTGCATCAATTATGAACCTAAACAGTTAGAAATCAAACTACAAAATAAAGCCAAAGAGTTCACTAAAACTGTTTCTGACAAAGAGGTGCTTTTCCTCCTCCTTGCATATTTATTTCATGTCTTTATCCATTAGGATAGGATTCTAGAATACATTACTACAGCTTTCTGAATATGCAGCAGCCACAGATATTTCTTGAATGCATCAGTTCATGGCGGGGAGTGGGTGGGAAGGAAAGAAGACAGCAAAAGGCAATGGCTAAATACCATTTTCGATAAATTCATGCAAAACTGCTCTCAGCTTTAGTACACTTTGTTAACAGAATCTAATTTCAACCCCCCAAAAAAAACCCCAAGAAAACCTCAACCTTTAAATAATAAAGGAATACTTCAACTCTCCAAAACACGATTTGACCAATAGCGTGGGGCAGCAATTTCATTGTCACGGATTTCTAAAAACACAAGCCACCAGAAAATACCAGATAAGATCCTCAGCCTTCCCATGGCCCCAATGTCACATCAGAGGGCCCTGGCTCCTCAAAATCCCTAGGTCTAATTGAGCAAAACTTCCCCTGGGAGGAACTAAATGAAGACAAACAGAGCCTGGTTTTGCAAGATCTTCAACAGGAAATCGAAAAGGTGTTTCCAAAGTAGAAACGCCACTGCAAACTAGCTGCCATCTCTCAGACAATGTCTAGAGACATAAATTGCACCCAGGGTCACCTTACCTTCTAAACAGAAAAGCACTAACCATGAGGGCAAATTATGAAAAAGAACTGAAGTTCTGAAGAAAAGCCACCATTTGTAGGCGAGAGAGAGGGAAGGATGCAAGAACAGCAACTGCCAACAGTGCTTTTATTTTTGTTCCTGATTTTCATCAGGTCCAACAGCAGAGGCAGACAATGTCTAATAAAATTCGATATTCTTCAACAGACAACTGGAGAAACATTCTCTTAAATGTGATCTTAGTCTGAATAGCCATCTAATGGGATACGTGGTTTTGCCTGACAAATGTGAATTACAGGCTAGAAAACTGTATTAATTCATATTAAGGATCCAAAAAATACCAGGCAACTTGACTATTACTGGAAAAGAATTAAACATTTTGATAAATCTAACAATAGTTTATCCAAAGCAAAGTATTACGCTGAGCATGTTACTGAAGTGTCACAAGGCAAGAGAGAAGGCAAAATGAGAAATCATGCACACATTTAGAAGCTTTCAGCCAGACATTTTTTTTTCTTACCTCCTTTCAAACACGAATTTAAGCTACAGCCACTGTTACAAAATTGAACTAATCCTCTTGTCTTGTATCATGGCTCTTATACCCCTCCAACCACACAGAAGAAAAGAAAA